ATAAATTAAGTATTGTATGATGTGACGAACATTTTAGTTAGTGAAAATAAATTCAAAATTTATAATACCTCCATGAATCCGTCTCTCCAATTCCAAATCTTAGGTAATATTTGAAACCACCTAAATACTACCAATTCATCCAGTTTTTAAAATATTTTAGAGGAGATGGACATTCCGATCTTAAGTGTCTTGGTCCAATCTACTTCTGCTGCTAAAATCTATTACTTTATTGGCCTTGTAAATTCTACTGCTACTATATTAATTCCATTGCCACTATATCAAATCCATACCTATCTACCTTTGGATACCTTTACATCATTACAATTACGGCGGTTGTACTTATTTCCATTATTTTTTCTACCCTTAGGATTCCAAAGTTTAAATATATTTTGTGCCCTCTCAATTCTATATTTCTACTCAATTCAATTCACCTTAGGTATTTTGCATTCCCCCTCTCTTCTTCTATGTCTAATATTCTAATACTTTCTTATTTTTTTATGTTTTTTACCATCACAAATATAGTAGATATCTTCTTCTACATTGCAAAGGCCCTCATTACTTGGAAGCATATAAATAATCACAAGTGATATTAGGAGCATGATTTAACAAGATTGTAAAAGTCAAAAATAAACTTAAAATTAGACTAGTACCACTACTATGTTATATTGACTATACAAAATTTAGTTGACAATCTAATGGGTCTTATTAATGGTGTATAGGTTGTATGAAACAATCAATATTTTTACAAGAAATTTTGATGGATTTGCACACGCTTCACGCAATGCAGCAAAATAATTAATCATTGTTATTGCTTATGCATACAAGATTGAATTAATAACAAAAAGCTCCAATGATAGATGAATTATTTAATTTAAGCCATTGCTAATACATAATTTTTTAAATGAATAATATAAATATATAATATTTTAATAAATATTTTCTTTTAAAAAATATTAATTTCATTCAATGGATGTATCTGGAATCAATTAACTTATCCAATCCCAATGAATGTGTCAATTAAGGCGTTTTTATAGATCAAGCATTTTAAACAAAATATTGAAAGTATGAAAAGAATTGAGAGCTTTATAGTTCTATGGAGCCCTTTTTATGTACAATAACTTGCTTTTGGAAAGAATTCCAAGCATTAATTAGTCAAGAAGCAAAAACAATGGCTCAACTTATTGACATACAAGAGGCTTTTTAGGAGGTCAAGGATAGGATGGTAGCAACAAACATCAAGATTCAACAACTAAAAGCAATCCATAAATATTAAAAAGATGTTCGAAAAAATAAAAAGAAGAAAAAGACATTACGAATTCTTTGGATGTTGAGACCAAATTTTAGGCTATCCGCCAACACATCACCTTTTTATTCCTATCTCATTATCAATCTCTGTATTGATCTTCAAAAAGCAGTTGGAGTTCCTATAAAAAATCCTTCTACAGTATCTTATCTTAATAATCCTCCCTCTATACAATTAGAGCTATGGGATTCTCTCTCTACCAAAAAGAAAAAAGAATTTCTTACTTGCTTTTGACTAGGCTATGACTAATCAACACTTTGTTTTTAGTTGACTTTGTATTATAGAATTACATTATATATTGGTTTAAGAAAAAAATTAAGCTAACTATAGGAATAAAATATCTCAAGATTAAACAAAAGATATGCAAAAAAAAAATAGATACACTAAATAGAGCTAGGATAGAAGTTGGGAGACAAATAGATGATTGAAAGCTCAAATGAAGATGAATAGAAGATAAGATGGTATTTTTTTATATTTAAACCAAGGACTTAGTACAATAAGGATATTCCTTCTAGTTATATGGTGATTATGTTAGTATAGTAGTAGAAGTTTAGCAGAAGACTACATCAAAGTTTCTATGCTTGTATGGATCCATGATATCCTTGATTGCACTAAAGCCTTTTTTAGTCTCAATCTTATTGTATGTTGATCTTGTAAAGTATGATAGTATGGAAATAATACGAAAGGAGAGTACTTAGATTGTACAATAGACTACCAAAAACCAATTTTAGAAACATTAGAGACTCATCTGAGGTTTTGGAAGGATTTAATTTATGAAGCCTCAATTTCTTGAAGCTATACACCATACAATGTAACAATCTTGCTAACCAAATTTTGTGGAAGCAATGAACATACTATTAAATTGTATCTTTATAAAAGTTAAAATTAATTCTTTAATTTCTTTTGATGCAAGTAATTGGTAAACCCAGTTTGTGTGAAAAGAAGAAAAATAAAATAAAACATCAACTTCAATGTATCATTTTTAGCTGTCTGCTCGTAGAGCTTCCAGCTTACCACGTTGAAATAAAAGAAGATCGGATAGCCCAAAACAACAAATTTGAAACTTAGATTGAAGTCTAGTCCAATCCGGACATGGAAGTTAGGTTTGTCGAAAGAAAGCTCAATGATTTGCTTGTTGCTCCCAGAAAGGAAGAATCAGAACAAGAAAGGAACTCCAGAGGGTCAGGCAGCAAAATTGAATCCTTTGCTGACTTGCACTCATGACATTTCAGCATTTAGAACACTTTCCACTTCACAAGCAAGCACATCAGAAGTGTGGAAGATCAGCCAACACGATGGATACAAACTGATTAACATTCTTTCATTGCGACCATACACCCCAAACCTGTAGTGTGTGCGACAGTCTCACTTTATTCAGATATTGCACATATTCCTGGTTTCTTACCCTCATGCTTGAGACAAGGAAACCACAATCGGAAGCTCAACTATAGCATCCTGATGGCCTCGGCGAGCTGTGGTCAGTGCCTAGTTGAAGCTATGTGCAAGTAGACACTTCGGTCGAGACTCTTATAACTTGCAAAGATTTAAAAGATGATGCACATTTTTTAATTTTTCAATTGAATCTGGACGTGTTTAGTGGATTCTACCTGAGATCGTGGAAAACTTTGAAACGAATGTCGATGGTCAACTTCAAGAGCTGCAAAGCTTGATTAAAACTTTCAGCTTGCAACTGCCGTAACTCGTCGTAATGCTGGCCTCTATCTCTTCCAATGTTGGTTGCCTTCTTCTACCTGTAACTTTTAGTGTCTCCTTTTGCAAAAGATACCAGGAAAAGAACACTTATATATATCTCATTCATGGGCACAATTTTTTATTCAGAACATTTACAGAATTTGTTGCATTGATCAAATTGCTGCCTCACCTGTTCTAGATCTTGCTGTCATGGACTGCTTTTGATTCAGGTTAACGAGTGGTTGGGAGGTTGCTCTTGTGATAGGACATGAATTGGGAGATAGCAAGAATAATGGGTCTGTTGGAAACTTGAGTAAAAGCTCCTAGATTTCCATAGAAAATTGGAGGGGCCTATTACGTTCTCACGAGTGGTGGAAAACTTGATCATTACCCTGCCAGCATCTCTGACGGTCTTTCTTATTAGAATCCTGTCAAAATGCAACGTGTGATCGTGTAAACCTTAAAGTGAGCATACATAAGAAAATTTACGGTCCTTATCTATTTAGAACTTACGACAGTCCATGAATTGTCTTCACTCGCTTGGTCTTCTTCAACGTCATTAGATTCTGAACCAAGCTCCTTGTAGTCTTTCTCTAAAGCAGCAAAATCTTCCCGAGCTTCAGAAAATTCTCCCTCCTCCATGCCCTCCCCAACATAAGACCCATTATGTTGGGGAGTGCGAAAGCCCGCTTCAAATGCATGAGGTCAAACTTGTGGTCCAGCCGAGAGAATACCTCAGCAATACTCGGGGTGTTGGAGATCATGCAAACCGCTCTTTGCACCTGCCAGTAATGATCAAATAAACATTGGTCTACGATAGAATTCGTACTGGGGCATGGCATTGAGACAATTACAAATGTAACCGAAGATTTATCTCCGACATCTTGTACCTTCGCTAAATCTCCACCAAGCACAACTGTAGGCGGCTTGTAGTTGATACCATTTGAATTCAATTGGACAGCAGTCGACAAACTAAATAGTTTGTTTTGTCTTGATTGTGCTTACTGCTTGATTTACGTCCTTCGGGACAACGTCCCTCTGGTACATCAAGCAGCAGGCCATATACTTGCCGTGTCTGGGATCACACTTGGCCGTCATGCTGCTTGGATCGAAGGAGGAGTTGGTGATTTCTGCAACCGAGAGCTGCTCATGGTATGCCCTTTCGCATGAGACTATAGGGGCATACGAGGATAACATGAAGTGTATCTGGGGGTAGGGCACAAGATTGGTCTGAAATTTGGTGAGGTCCACGTTCAAGGCGTCGTCGAATCGAAGTAACACAGTTAGAGACGACACCACTTGTTAGATGCTATGGTTCCGTTACTGATGGTTTCCCTCATATTTCAATTGCTTTGTAGTTTAATATGATATAGGTAGAGTAGTGTGGAATAAAAGAGTTGTGAGAGGCGTTTGATTGATATAAATGGTACAGGAGATCGTACCTGGGTGACAAGACGATTCAAATTGGAGTACGTGGGATGCTCAACGTCAAGAATTTTACGGCATATGTCGTAAATTGCCTCGTTGTCCAGCATCATTGCCACTTCTGTGTTCTCAAGGAATGAGTGGGTGGACAGAACGCTGTTGTAAGGCTCTACGACGGCATTGGAGACCTATGGACTAGGATAATCAGTCATGCTTAATTTCGATTTCTTCCCATAGTCCATTGACAGCCGCTCCAACAGCAAGGAACCCAATCCCGAGCCAGTTCCACCACCCACGACGTGGAACACAAGAAATCCCTGCAGACCAGTGCAATTGTCTGCCAGCTTTCGAATGCGGTCCAAGCAAGCCTCCAGAATCTCCTTTCCAACTAACATGATGAGAACCGAATCCAGCACGACGTAGCAAACAAATCCAATCATAAGAAATGCCACAAAATATCCCACATCCAATGTCAAGTTGCAAATATGGACAACTAGTTCGAAGGAAAAACATGGGAAGGTAGCGGATAGGGAACAATGTTGATTAATGAAAAGAGGACCGCACATTGGTGTAGTAGCCCCTAGCAAAATTGTTGGCAGCGTGCTCATTACCGCTAAAAAGCTGTTCGGAGTGGGAAAGCTAGTGATACGTGCTTCTGCGGATTTCTCTTTGGGTTTTTTTTCATGTGTGTGGCGGAGGCTACTGCGTTGCGACTAGGCTGCCTTATTTTTTTTATTTTTTTATTTTTTTTTGTTTCCCGGTTGTGTTGCGGAGCCCGTGACCTCTAGCTGGTTGCTGCTAGACGTTTTATTTTTATTTTTATTTTTTCGTTTTTTTTCCACTCTTATCTAAATTGTTCGGTTGGCGGTCCAGTCCGGTGGGCAAAGGCGCTGGCATCGTGTATTGACTTAGGGTGGCATTCTTACAATTTGGCACTTTACGTTGCGGCTGTCGAGAACCGTTGCGGCTCTTCTTCTTTTTCTTGTTTGGCTGGCAGCGGTGGAAGTTCTTGCGATTGACAGTACACTGGAACATTGATTCGGCAACCTTGAGGTACCTTGCGCAACGACTGTATCACTGCAGAACGTTGTCCATTAGAGTAGTTGACCATTTTTGTTCTTTGTGGTGTTTTATTGTTCTTGTTCTCTGGAACAGAATTCGGTTGTTGTAGCTTCCTGCGATTCTGCGGTAATTGAGACTACGGAATCTGATCTGGAGTCTGATTCAAGTGGTGCATCCACAGTCAAAGCGTACAATGAAGTTCTTCTCTTTTGACATCTTGAGATGTATTCATGCGATTCCGGCGCTAATCTGGCTGTGAAGCAGCTTCGGTCTAGTCTTTGATTGGTGGCGAGTGATGTAGCTTAGGTTGCCGAGTTGGAGTATATGCTGACCGTAGCAAGAACGATCTTCTAGCATACGTTTTGATTGAGCTGAGTACAAGAGCTGAGTACAAGAAGTGTCTGTCAAGATCATAGTTCCATCATCGACAATAACTTTGGGTCGCATTTTATCCAGCCTCTCTGTTAGCCGCATTCACATTTTCCCAGTTGATGGTGGTTGAGATCAGCTTCTAGGGCGAAGTTTGGAAGGAATCCAGATAGAATTGCTATAATCAGAAAATGTAACAAGATCAGGAGGGAGACAAAACCAACCTCAACATTTAATATACCACTCCATCTTCATTCACATAGGGTGTCGCGACTTCCTCGGAATGCCCTTGTGGTCGTCACTCATCCCATTCAATATTTGGACATTTATGCATAACTAAAGTTTACCCTTTCCCCTGAGCATGTCTCCGGGCTGGATTTTGCCTTAAGACGTGGCCGTCCAGTCTATCCTCGTAATTAGGCAATTCCCTCTCTTAGTGAAGAATTGAAGGACAAAGAATTGACTGTGGAGAATTAGACTGCCTAGAATCGTTGTGTTGTTGCGGCGGAAGTACTTACGCAATTCAGTGCAGATCAAGGAGTGAGGCAATGGCTCCTAATTGTTTTGGATTCTGTTGGCACAATTTAGAGGGTTGTGCGGGACTCAAGCAACCGTTATCACGATTACCATGTAGCAAAGTGTGTTCTCGTTGAGGGAGGCTAGCTGTGCTTACGGAAAGACTCAAGGGACCCTCGGCATTGTGTACGAGCTGTGAAGGTTCTCTCAAGAGGATATCAACAGTCTTCATCGTCAATCACTATCTTAATGAGCAGGATTCGAGGTGTAAGCGAGCTTGGGAAGCTGCCAAAAGCTGCATGAATGCGTAGCACTGATTATTGATGATTTGGAACACATTATTTCCACAAAAGTGATATTCTACTGCAGAACTTCAATAGGTCGACTCCCTCCTAGTGGCAGAGGGTGCAATTCCAATCTTCTCCACAATTTGGGATCTAGAAGATCGAAAGCCGGCACCTAGCAGCTACCAAAAGGAATTTGTAAGAGTGAATTAAATTGGATTAAGTAAGAGCTGTAACTTATCAACCTTGTATAATAAATGCACTTGTTGTGAGCTATGATAAACTCCAATTAGTGGAGGATTATTTTACTTCATACATAGGTGATTTAAAGAGGTTAAGAGTGATTCAATTAAGAATCAAATAAGATTTAACATTTCTAAGAATTCCATAGTTAATTCATTTGTTATAAACTAAAATAACCTTCCAACTAGTGGAGGTTTATTTTAGCTCATATTTTGGTGCATTTGCTATGAAAGGTATCCTATAAGTCTTAGCTTGCTTGGAAGACAATTGTTTTATCAACTTATATTTTTATTTGTTTCATCTTGTGCTAGTACAATCTTTTGGTGTTATTGTAGGTTGTTGTTGTATAGTAACTTAGAATAAAGTTGGAGCTTTAAGGAATTTAAGGTGGAGTAAAAAAAAAAAGCTTAGATATAGACTTAGGATTGTTTTAAGGATTAGAATCAACTAGGATTTGATAAGGATCTTCATCAAAGGTGGAGCTCTTCTTCAAATTTGGTCATCACTTTTCATCCTTGTCAAAATCTTGTTGAGGGTCCATCTTTGGTGGTTGAATGGATTTAATCACCCTCTCCACCTCTTGTATCACTTCTTTTCATCTAGTTGGAAAACCTTTGTTGGTGGCAATTTTCTAATGGTAGAAGGATTTAATCACCCTGTCCACTTGCTATATCTTTGCTATTTACAAATATAATATAAAAAAGAATTCTTAGACAATATTCAAGAGTACTTTACCATCAATTCAAGGAAATTTTGAAAAAAAAAGAAACAAAAGAAAAACAAAGAAGAAATAGAAGTAAAGAATAAATAAGAAGGAAAAAAAATTGAAATTTTAAAGGCTACATTTAAAGTAAGTTCTCACAAACAATCAATTAAGATTTTTTATTTTTTATTTTATTTAAATTAACATAAGTTGTAGCTTAAGAATCAATCACAATCCACAATATAAGCCACATAACAATACTAAAACCACAAACACTTAAGAGATTATTTTTTTATCTTAATTTTTATTTTTATTTAATTTAATTATATTTTAATATTAGTTTTTTTTTTTTTTTTTTTTTTTTTAATTGTCTAACAAAAATTCATTCAAATTTGAACCTTCTTCTACCAATTTTTCATTTGTGAATGATTTTTCATCCACAAATGAGAATTCATACAATTTCAACAATTAATCATCAATAATTAATCATCTTCTTCAACCTTAATTCATCCAATTTTAATCTAAATCACCAAGTTTGAGAGAAATTCATCTACTTAATGCACATCATGCATGCTTTGGAAATATTAAATAAGTTTGATAACAAGAATGAATTTTGATTTTACTCAATAGTTTTGTTTTCTGGAGGTCCAAGCAATCACATAAGTCTTCTGAAGTCTCTAATTGCAATTACCATCCAATAGCCGGAAAGAATCGACAGCTGCAGTCTACCTTCTCTGACTGATTGCCCGATGCGAGATGAGTTGCCACCATAGCAAAATCCAAACAATAATGAAATAAATAAATAAATAAATAAATAAATAGTAGGAACCTCAACTTCACTATTATTCTAGATGCTCTCATCTCACAGTAGCCTGCTCCTTAATACAGACTTCCTTTTGTGTGCGAAAGGTCAACAATGGCAGCTAGTCTTCACTTATAAGGAAAATAAAAGAACAAGGTCCAATTGGCGGAACCAGGAGTCTAAATTAAAATCGTTGTTGAGAGGTGGCGATAGACGTGTAAGTGTGGGTCTGTGAGAATCCATCGCGCGGTGTTCGTAGAAGAGACATCTGATGAAGGCGCGGCAGATCATGAGGGACCCACTAAATGCGATGATTGAAAAAAAAATCCTGTGCCACAGTAACCTTCAATGAATGATGCACACTCTAATTCCTCCAATCTTATGCTCACAAAAGTAGACAGATTATTGCATGCCATTGGATATGGTGCTGCGGAGGAACGAACTCAATTAAATAAAGTCGCTTGCAGTTGGCCACTTGAGACCAACTCAGCTCAGCAGACTCTCGACTACGTGATGTTGCACCTCTTACGCGAATGACAAAAAATTTGAGCTATGTAGATCCCTCACTCTGCCCAGTGCCAGAATCTTTGGCCATCGCATCTCCAGACAACCGACTAATACCTAGGTGCGTGTGCTTTGCAATCTTTGGGCTCCACACGAAAACTAGAAAAAAAAACAGAAAAACAAAAGAAGTGTTGTATCACAACCTTTGCAATGCAACGACAAAAAAAACTTGATAATGCCGTAGCTTTGCATACAACATCAATGTAACCTAGCTTGCCATAGGGAAGGAACCAAGCTCATAACTTGAGCTGCTTCTGCTCTTCCCAGCTCCAGGAAATCACAGCCGCCTTGCGTCACTGAACAAAAGAAAAAATCGGGAAAGACTAGGCAATGTTGTTGGCAGCTCCAAGTGTTGCTGCAACAATCTGACTCATCAAACCCCTTAACACAACAATCCAATCTTTGAAATTCACAAAGCACAAGAAATTTCCCTCCCAGTTAGAGCGTTTGTAACGCCCAAAAAAACAAAAATAATAGGTCAAGAAGCAACATTCCAGAGCATCGGAGCACGTGAAACCAAAAAGAATAGAACAAGAGATAAAGGATCCCGGGCAACCAGGACCCCTATCGGCAGGGAGGCTGCCAAAATTCGGAGGCAGCCTCTCGCCTTCCAACCCAACTTCCACTTATTATTATTATTATTATTTTTTTGATCTTTTCTTTCTTTCCTTTTTACTTTTTTTTTCCTACTCTCTCCTACTTCTTCTATCATTTATTTATTTATTTATAATTCTTTTTGAATTGGCCACTTCAAGTTCATCTTTTGCTCCTAATTCAATTAAGTTTTTAATAGAATAAATCTATTATAAAAAACGTCATAAATCTATATCAACTAAATTAAAGAAGTAGTTACTTATTTTTAATTTCTTTTTCAAGAAATTTTGAAAAAGACCTATTTTAGCTACTACACCTTATTAATTGCTATTTATCTCCAATTCCTACATCAACTCCCTAACTAATGACTTTAGGCACCATAAGTATCTTTTTTGTATTAAAACAACTAATGAATCAATTATGTGACTCACATATATATAGGATAAAAAAAAGGGGAGAGATTGTGCTCTTTGCCAGCAACAAAATGCTTTTGTACTAAATGTTGCTTAAGGTCACTTCTACATAAAGTCATTCTATATAATAGTCTTAGAAAAGGAAAGCCTTACTTGGATTGATACTCAAGTAAACATTCTTCTTTTAGGTTATTTCTATTGTATTTTCCTTCTTTGTTAGAAGAAGTTCTTTAAGTGGGATGTAAGTTGATAAGTATAAGATATCAATAAATTAAATTCTATAGTTTTCTTTTTTGACTTGTTCTAATTTTTTTAATTTTTAGAATTAATGTCATGATTGTAGAAGTTGAATGCATTATTTTACTAGATCTAATGATTCTATATTAATACAACCTTTTAAAAATCCAAAATCTTTAAGAACTATTAGATCTCTCTTCTTAAATAATAGGACTTGTAGTCATGAATCTGATTTAAATATGTCTAAAAATCTATTTAAAGAAATTGAAGACCTTTCTTCACAAGACCTTAAAAGAAGATACATGAAATTTGGTTTCAATTCCCTTGATAAATAATATAAGTAATTTGGATCAACAGAGTATTCATTCACCTCAACCGTAAGAGATAATGGATTTGAATACAGCAAAAAGGAAATAACCACCACCCATATCAATTTATTCCTTGATTCAATTAATGGATTCATCTATTGGAATTTCAGAGGGACTTAGTATTGCCCCTATGCCTCCTAACATTCTCATCTTTAAAAGTATAAGAGATAAAGATCCTTTGGTCCACGTAGAATGTTTCATAGAAACCTTCATTCCATGTTTGATAATAAATGGCTGCTATTCTTCATTGTGGTTTCTAATCATATTAAAAGAAAAGACATATAAGTGGTATTATAATTACTTTTTCAACACCTTCTTAAGTTGAATTACAATCCAATGTACTTTTTAAAAACATTTCTGGCTTGAAGTAGGACAAAGTATGGCCCTAACTACTTTAACCTTATTTAAACAAAAAAAAGGATGAAAATCTTACATTTTACATTTGACGTTTTGAATTAGTGGTAACACAATTTGAAGGAACCTTGCTCACAAACAACACCTTGAAGCATTTTTGCTAAAAAATAAAAAATTAAAGAAATCCTCCATACACATCTTAAAGACTTTATAGCAACCAAAAATACAGCAAAGAAAGTAGAACAAATAAATAAAGAACATGAAAGGTAGTGGCATAAAGAAGATCATAATATATCCAATTTTATATCTATATATGATAGGAATTCGTATGCATTAAGCTCCCAAATGTATAAACAACCACCATTAGTTCCTACAATCCTAAGAACCTATTCTTTACTTAGAAATGCTAGGCCAGGACTTCCTTCATTGACCTTCACCTATATTTTTGAGAATAATATTTGGAAGGAGGATTTACAAAATGAAATAAAGATATCTCAATTAGAATTTCAAAATCAAATCTCTCATTAGATGAAATTAATGATAGAACAATTAGCTGAATTGGCTAAAAATTCTAATTCCAATCCTTCTCCACTTTTCATTGAATTAGGAAGATATACAATAGAACTATGGTACATTCAATGTAGACAATCAAGGCATTCGGCCCAATTTTGCAACTCTATGCTCTCACAAAACCATTTGCATTTGCATTTGAGTCATACAATTGATTTATTAATTGATTTAAATACAAAAAATATACGTATGGTTCTTAAAGTCATTAGTTTAAGGAATTAATGTAGGAATTTTGAGATAAAGGATAATAAATAGGATATAATGGCTAGAATAGGGCTTTTTGAAAAAATTTCTTGAGAAAGAATTCCAAAATAGATGGTATTTCTTTAATTTAGCTAATACAAATCTTAATGTGATAATAGTGGTTTTTATTTTCATTAAAATATTTTAATTAGATTAGAAAGAGAAGTAGAATCTTTGATACAAAACATCTAATAAGAACAAAAGAAAGAAAAAAAATAAAGAAAAAACAGAAAATAAGAGTTAGTAAGCAAAGAAAAAGAAGAGCAAATAAAGAAGAAAAAATGAAAAGAAAAAAGAAAGGATTAAAAAAAAGATGGATAAGAGGGCAAGAGATTGCCTCCAAATTCCAACAGCCTCCTTGCTAATGGGGGTCCAAGCCGCCCCTGATTCAAACTC